CAGAAGACTAGGCTTCCTGCAGAATTTCTAGTAAAAGTTTAGCCCTGTTTGAAATATGTGGAGGTTTAGCCAAAAAATTCAGCTCTGTATCTAACTCACAATATTAACTTAGTTAATTTCAGCTGTAGAATAGTTTGTTGCATAATCAGCCAAATGTTTAGAGTGGATTTGAAGTTTTTATCCACCTGTCAAGTCCTTCCCAATGACCTGGGATAAGTAGTTATTGTTAAAGTGTTAAAGGTATCATCACAGAATGTAAGCAGTTCCAAGTAAAGCTTCTGTTTGCAACTGATTGATGTGAATTTTGTCACTGCCAATGGTATTCAAGTGGTGCTCCAGATGTTTTGGAATTGTAACTCAGGCACCTATTACTATTAGTATAATCTTTGATTTCTTTGCAATAGTTTTTCTCCTTCTATTTGCAAGTCCTTATATTTGTTATTTTTTCCAGTTTTTTCTTATCTTCGTCTGCTGTCTCCAGGTACTTCCACTATCCAGAGATTTTGTCACTGACAGCTGTTAAGTCTGGAGTGTTATGTTGCAAGCGGTGTATGACAATTCATCATGGCCAACTTGTCACAGCCAACTTGCTGCAGGACAACTTGCTGCAAGACAAGAGTTACACTAACATCAAACAAATAGTGAAATAGAATCATTGAAGAAAGGATGCAAAAGGAGGAACAGAATGAAATGTGAATGGCAAAAATTATTTTTTTATTTATTTTAAATAATTAAATAGAACTGTTAAATTGTCCCGCAGCAAGCTATCTGATGGCGAGTTGGCCGTGGTGAGGTGTCCTGCAATGAGTTGGCCATAGTTGCCCCATTCCAGTTGCAAGTGCTTTTCTGTTTGAATTCTAAAATCCCAAAACACTTTAGCTTCTTCACTTTCTTATTACTTTGTCCACCAATTCTTGATTCTAGGCAAATGGTATTTCTTGCAGATCTTTCAATGGACCATTGTTGCTACTTTCTCATGCTGTTCTTTGTAGTCAGTCTGTGTGATCTTCTTTCAGCAGGTGACTAGGAGCCCACTGTTTCTTCAGCTTCTTTGCAGAAGTAGAATTTTCCATCTGTTCCTATCTTCTCAATTCTGGCTTGATATGCATTTGTTGTCTCTTTCTTCAACTTTCCTGCTCTTAGCCATGCCAAGGTCTATCTTCCCATGTTTCTTTTCTGTTCTTCATTTTATCCTTCTTGTAAGCCAGTTTGGTCTCCAGTGTTCAGTAAGCCTTCCTGGTATACTAGCTTCAGTGCATCTTCTTCACCTTCCTTCAGATATGCTTCCAAAACCCTTTTATTTTCTTCAACCATCTGATGTACTTGCAACATTCCACCACCACCTATTTTCCTTGGTGAATAGAATCTGTCAACATTGCTGCATGGATGAAAGGCATGATTCATTGATGGCAAACCTTTTAGAGACTGAGTGTCCAAACTGCAACCCAAAACCCACTTATGCATCGTCGGGTGCCGGGTGGATGTGGCCCATTGGGTGGGCGTGGCTGCGGTGGTAATGGCAGACTGGGTGGGACTAAAAAGGTTTGATCAATCAATTCCAACTTTGCAAGATCTTTTTTTTTCCTGCGAGAAGTTGAAATTAACTGATTGAACCTTTTTTTTTTTTGTACACGGCAGCAGAGGCCTAAACCAAAAAGGTTTTATAAAACCCAGCTGAAACCTAAGGCTGGGGCGACGGCGCGAGTGCCCACAGAGAGGGCTCTGAGTGCTGCCTCTGGCACCCGTGCCATAGGTTTGCCACCAGTGGCATGATTCATTGTCACTATATATCTGGTCTCCCTATCCAGGGCCTTTAATTCTGCTTGAGTTCAGTCATTATTCCAGTGCCGTACCTAATGACTGGAATTGCCCAGGTTAATTGGTATTTCCTCCACTGAATTTGGACTTTTAAGATCTTCTTCACTTTCATGATATATTCACTTCTAACTTGACTTCGGTGTGCTTGATCTTGTCAGCTTGAAAGAATGCCCAGGTATCTGTAATGATCTATTTCATCTAGATTCCTGATGTTATTCTTGATGTTATTATCCAATTCTTTCAGTTTTCATTATTTTTCCCGTTGATGGTGAGGGTGGCATATTTGTCCAGTCCAAACTCTATTGCAATATTCAAACAGTATTGAACAGCAATTCTAATTTCAAATGGGTTTTTTCCACACAGCTCCTGTGTGTAAAGGAGGTGGGACAGCCTGACAGATGTTTTGATGTTTGATAGCCATGGCCTTGTTGTCAATATTGCTGACAGAGGAATCAGTACAATGACAAAACAGTAGGGACGACAGTGAGTCTGCCTGAAAGATTCCTCTCTTGATGTTAACCTTTCCATAACCATTGACCAGCAACTGTGTCTTCCATTGTGCCACTGACCTTTGCACAAATCTTCTGATGTTTCTACTATTATTTCTAGGACCTTGATTATCCAGTCATGGGGCAGTGAGTATAATGCCTTCATGTAATAAGTATAAGCTACACCAAGGTTGGCTTTCCCTCTCTTGTCGGTTTCCAAAATCTTGTCAACATTGTTCTTCTTCTGTTTGAGTAGTTTTCTTTCAACTCAAGTGGAAAGAGTTTGTTTTCAACTAGATGCTGTTGGACCATATAAGGTACATACCAGCTAGCAATTCGAAAGTTGTTGGTAAGAGGGCAATTGGTCTGTAGTTGCCTGGTACTGTCCTTTTTTTTTTTTTTTTGGATCTTCTATTATTGCCAGATGTTAACTAGTCTTCAATTTCATCTCCTTGCAGTATATTCTGAACTACTTGGCAATGAGTGGGTGTACCCCAGTCAGATATTTCAACCAAAACATGCAATTCATCTTCACCTAGAGCTGATCAGTTCTTGATCTTTCTTCCTCTTTTCTCCACCACTTCTGTTATCACAAGTTCTTTCATTTCAGCTTCTTTTTTATCCACCTCCTTTACCCAAGTGCATTCTTGTTATTTCTTTACATTATCCCATAGCCGCAGCCAAAACTGCACTATTCCTCCTCCTCCTTTTGGTGTTGACATCTTCTTCTGGTGTTAACTTCTGCTGTTGACCACTATTACTACTACTACTACTACTACTACTACTATTACTACTACTACTACTACCCTTCCTTCTCTTCCTCCTTCTCCTCCTCCTTCTTCTGGTGTTAATTAGTTCACTGCAGTCTCTCCACTGATGGTAATATTTCTTTTGTCTCCTTGTTCTTCAGCTTCTTTTATCTGTTTCAACTTAATTGTATCTAATCTTAGCTAAATGATCTTATTTTCCAGCCTGATTTTCCATTTTGATGATGCACTTTTTTTCTTTGTTGATTTTGCATCTACGGTATTCAGTTATAAGTACAGTATTCAGCTATGCTGTATATTCATTTGTTTCTTGCAGTAAGTGGATGCTTATATTTGATATTACAGTATTGGCATCTTTTAATATTTGGACTGTTTCTTTGGAGCAAGTTTCAATGAGGGCAACCTTATTCTGTTGTTTTTATGCTGATATAGATACTTTACTTCAATCCTTTTTTAGTTAATGGGCTTTGTTCTTTCTGAGGTGAAACAGAGGGCAGGTGCCTTGTTTGGGAATGAAAATAATTCAATGACTATGCTGCCCACGACAGTCAAGATGATCAATGGACAGCCACTAAAAGCAGGACTGATTCTACAGTGCATGGCTTTGCAGTTGACGATCAAAGATCACACAGAGTTCATAACAATCAATGTAATTGCTTTCTTTCAAATGCTCATCATCTTGGAAATAGAGTAGCTTCAGTAGCATGATCCAGAAGTAAGTTGGGAGTGAGGGACACTCTCATTTCCCTCCCGTAAATGTCAGTAATATCACTTATAAGCCCTGCAAGTTTACCCCTCTCCCACTCCAATGCAAGGTCAACCCTGCAAGAAAAAATATGCAGACTTTTCAATGTGTTTGGAAAAGAAGAGGTAATCATGCTGCCCTCATAACAGGCATCTAATTGCATGATCAATTTGAAGCCAGGAGCCCAAATTCCAGCAGAGACCATATTTCATGTCTAGATACAATTTAGCCATTCTCAAGGAATATTTGCATGCCAATATCAAAAAAGGATTCATTGCTCTTCCAATTCACCAGCACTGGCACCCAAAAACAAGGAAAAACACCAACCACTCTAAAGGGAGCCCCGTGGGTACCATTCATGATTATAAAGGCCTGAACAGGTTAAAAATTAGAAGCTATCATCCACTCCCTGCTTATCTCAATTCTTCTGGATCAGTTCAAAAGACACAGATCTTTATAAAACTAGACTTCAGGAGTGCTGAAACAGAATGAAAGAAGGACATGAGTATTTAGCAACATTCGATACAAGATACAATAAATTTGAAAACACAGCAATGCCTTTCAGCCTGGTTAACTATGGAGCTGTTTTTTTCTAGATTCATGATATATTTTCAGAAATGGTTCCTCTACTTAGATGACATATTAGTTTATTCTGAAGGTCCCTCTTTGCATGTCACCCATGTCAGAAATGTATTATATAAATTACAGGAGAATAAACTCTTTGTCAAACTAGAAAAATGCACTTTTGACCAACCTTAATTGAACTATTTGGGCTACAAAATCTCCACAGAAGGCATACAGATATATTCATCAAAGCTACAGACTATCATTGCACTTTCTCCCTCCCCCATAATGTGAAAAATGTCCAGTACTTTCAGGGTTTTTCTACCTTCTATAGGAAATTCATCCCTAACTTTGCTGACTGTGTAAAACCATTGTCCTAGCTCCTAAGATAGGGTTGCCGATTCTCCTGGTGAACCCAAGAGCAATTGGCTGACAGTTGGAAACTGGATGAAAGGTGTCCAGCATGATTGGATCTAGTGATGGTTTCTTGAGAAGGGGCAAACCAACACTTCCTTAATAAATGAAGGGAATCCATCTTTCTTATAGTCCATTCCTAATTACCCTTTCCCATATTAAGATCCTTGCACATCCAAGGAACTTCATATCATGCAAGCTTACCCGTTCTACTTGTCCTTCCTTATGTTTCATCTTGTAAACCTTGAGTTTTGGCAGACATTCCTCTGTATAATTCTTCTCTTCCATTCCATGGAGGAGTATCCCATGAAATGCCAGTCTGCAAGTATTTGCATGAATATCAGTGTCTAATTTTGAACCAATTACAAGACAAAATTTAGGACAAGTAACTGGTTTTTCAAATTCTAGTAAGGCCCACTGTTGTTTTGGGAGCTGTCTTTCTCCAACTTGGCCATTTTCCTTGTTTTCTTCTGAGGACTTTGAATCATTGGAAAGATATTCCTCCTCATAAAGGTATTCCTTTTCAAAATCAAAATAATTTTCCAGAGGCTCTTTACTGAAGTCATCAGGAGTTGGGCTGAAGAACATTACTCTTCCCATAACAGTCTCATGGCCAACTGTAATATGAAACTTTGCCTTGGTTTGAAGAGTCCCTCTAAAGTAGGGGATTTTCTTTAAACAGATAATGGCAGCATGGATCGTCTGGAGAGATTCAGGTGTACAAATGAGGCCTCGTTCCAACAGCTTTGGATCAAACTGGGTTACACAAATTCCAACCCTATCCCCTTGCATGGCATAAGTTACTGGTGTATGAAACATCTGCATCGACTTTACTTTCTTTGTCACCTATTTATGGGGGAAAGCATAACAAAAAAAGTTAGCATTTGCCTTGTTTTAAAATATCAATTTAAAATATTCATACTCTTTTACATACACTTTTATAATAATAAGGGTTTTTTTTTGCTGCTTTATACCATTCTCATTAATTACCAGAAAATTTATCTTAAATTATCTAATGAAATGCTTAATTTTTTATACAAGAAAATAATATCAGCCCTTATTCTTTTGAATTTAGTAACTTCCATAGTAGCCAAAAGTATGCAGAAGATGTGTTTGAACCATCATAAGTAATTAGTCCCTTTATTTTTTTTAAAAAAGCAAATTAGTTACATAGTTTAAAACACTGTCTTTTCTGTTCTTTTCCTCTACACATTTGCTGCTGCTTCTTAAGCAGGCTGTATTACCTCCAATGGTAAGCATTTTCTCTTTTAGATTATTGTGTGATAGCATATCTCAGTGTATTACGACAATGTACGTACATGTTTTTGTTTTAACACATAGAACACTGTAAGACATTCACTTTTTTGAAGGTTAGTGTTTTCAAAAAAATAATTTTCATTCATTTATTCTATATAGCTTCAAATCCTTTTTATCACATTTGGTCTTTTCCATAAATCTGTCAAATAATAATAAAATATATTACATAATGTGTAAAAATACTTTATAATCTCATTTTCATCAACTTGTAAAGAATAAACACAAATATGATTTGGTGATTTCAGAACTATTTTATGATTATGAATTATATTATACTGTGTATAATTATGGTTATTATCTGGTTATGACTCTAATCTTTCCATAATATATGAGACAGTGTAACACCACAAAAAAAAAAAAGTTTGAGGCTAATACACTTCGAATCTTCTTAGTTATTCTATTTCAGAAACATCTTAGAATAGAAACAGTAACAAGAAAATAAGCTTTTTAAAACTATCAAAGTTGGTTCAGCTTGATTAGGACAAACCAGTTGTTTAATATGGTTTGATTTTCTTTTCCTTTTTTCTTTTGTTCTTACATTTATTCTTTAAGCCAGGGGTGGGCAAAAGAGAAATTGCTATCTACTGGTAGGTCCCTAGATGATGTGCAATAAACTGCAAAATTTCTGACATCCAATTATCCAGCAATAGCAAGAACTAAGGAGATTTACTTGACTAAATTATGTTGCAGGAAAGGATTCTGAAGGGGTAATGGGATTAATTGCGACAAAATTGTAAATGGAATGTATGTGAAGAGACTTATAATCTTAGTTCTGGTACCAATCACACTTTCCTCAATTGAGCATGTTGCCAGAAACAAAGTTTCCTTAATTCTTAGTACTCGTTCATCCTCCTGAATCCCTATTTTGTACTCTATTCGTTGGGCAGCAGTTTTAAAAAGCTTATAATCCTGAAAACTGACTGCTCCAACCTTAAGAGTTATATTCATCTGTGATCAATTTCCCCTCCCTTTGTGCTAACCATTCTCTGGAGTATCCTTTAATACCTTTGGAGAAGGTCTAGGGAATATAGAAGGAGGTAGAGGGGAGAGAAAGGAGAGCAAGAGGTAGGGAGGGAGAAAGGGAAGGGGGGGGAGAGAGAGGGGAAAGAGAGAGGGGGTCCCTCCCTCTTCAGCTAGTGCTAGCTATTTTTTGCATTTGCACAGTGACCACAACTGAATGCAGACTTAACTCAATATTTTTTTCATTTATTCATTACCCATGCATATTGCACTCAACTTTGTAACTTTGAAAAATCTTTAAAATGTAGAATTTTGGAGGAACTCAAAAGATTCAATGTGTGTTTTCACATTATGAAACTTCTCTTTTTAAAAAAATATAGAATACAACATCCCTTCTCAAAAAAAAAAAAAACGTATAGGCTATCAGTTGTATCAAACAAAATTCAGCACATTTAAAATGAAATATCTTGTATACATAATAATTCCAAAGTTTAAAATTCTGCTGCTCTATCTCTCCATATAAGCCATAGCCATAAGAAGATGTGAAATATACATATATTATGAACAGATAAAAAAAATCAAATCCTTTAAAAACTAACCAAAAATGAACTGCGTAAGTCCAAAACCAAAATTCCATCAGACCACATTTTATACCTTTAAAAAAAAAATTAGTTGAATTTATACTATTGTGTTAACATTGCCCAGAATTCAAAGAGAAATTTAGAGAAGAATTTATTACCAGCAATTGGTATAATACTTCATTTTAAAAAAAACTTTTATTATCTAGCATATCGTGCATAAAATCCTGGTTCTGCCTTTCTCTTGTATTCTTAGTTTTCACTGGAAGTCTTTTTATAGAAAAGAAAATTTAAAAATTAGATTCCCCCATCAAGTCTAAAGTAAATGATTCCAGATCTTTTCCATTTAATTTTGCATTTATAGAACACTTCTATGTGCATCAAACTTTCAGAAGCCTACCACTTTTAACTTTTTCCCCCCACAAAAGAAGAAATTATTCTTATATGAGCAACTGCCAATATAGTCTTTGGATGTTTACAATCTAAAAATATTCCTTTCAAGTAAATTACCGTATATTTCAGTGTATAAGGCGACCCGGTGTATAAGATGACCCCCGACTTCGGCACTGAGTCACATGCCTAGAAAGTCATCTTATACGCTGGAAACTATGAGCAACTGCCAATATATTCTTTGGATGTTTACAATGTAACAATATTCCTTTCAAGTAAATTACCATATATTCCGGCGTATAAGACGACTCAGCGAATAAGACGACCCCCGACTTCGGCGCCGATTTTAACGCTTGTGAAAGTCGTCTTATACGCCAGAAAGTACGGTAATACATTAAAAAAGATTCAATTTATTTTATAAAAGAAAACAAGGTGCATCCAATAATGGATACTATACACATAATATTTGCATCTTACTCCACAGTGAGTGGAATGGTATACATAGCTTTTAAAGGCTGTTTTTTTCTAAGACTTCTATGATATGAGAGATAAAACTAGTCCTAAGGAAACCCAGAAAGCTTCATGAATTAACTTTAACTTTTGGGAAACTAAGCTTCCTCATCTCCATACCTCAATCATATATCATCTAGGACAGGGGACTTCAAACTTTGCCCTTTTATGACTTGTGGACTTCAACTCCCAGAATTCCTCAGCCAGGCACACTGGCTGAGGAATTCTGGGAGTTGGAGTCCACAAGTCATAAAAGGGCAAAGTATGAAGACCCCTGATCTACGATCTAAAAATCAATAGGGCTATCTTGGACGAAGAGATAATTTCACTTTCTCAAGAACATATTTTTTCTGCTAAGTAAAGTATAGTTCCCTTTAAAATGAATAATAATACAGCTAAACATAAATGCCTATTTATAAATGTCAAAAAACTATGGGTCATCACAGTGTCTGAATTTCAACTACTTCCGCCCTACCTGCATTCCTAATTTTATGCCGCTCAAGTACATTGACAAAGTGGCACTTCTGACATCAATTCTGGGTAGCAACTTCAGCAGAAATTAGTATGTCTGCCCAAAAGCAATCACATGGCAATTTCAAGTTCATCAAAATCAATGAAGTGCTTCTTTAGATACTGTCTAGAACAAATACTGTCAGAATAGTAAACTGTGCTCAGAGACTTCATGTGGACAAGGATTGGGGGGAGGCATCTTGTAATGCCTGAAAATAAATCAGGAAAGAATGTTTAATATTTTTATCTTCATGATCACATTAATATTTCTAAGAATGATGCAGAGGATTGTGAAACTGCTTTAGTGGTGGAGGAGGACTGGGAAGTCCATGTGTTCATACAGAGATAAAAAATGCAAAAAGGAGAGATAAATTAAAAGCACCCAAACTGTTCAGGCCCTTAAGATAAACAAATGTGTTCAATATAAGAAAAGAACCTGTTATTTGAAGACCAAAGGAAAAGCTCACTAAGATTTTCAAAGCAGTTTAACTAATAGAAAACAGCATACAAAACCCCACTAATGGATTTTTCTTCTGATACAATGAAGCTTCTTTTCCTTTATTTATCCAACTTTCATTAAGTTATCAGTACTCCATATGCTATAGCTCTTAGGTTTTTCAGATAAGAGCCCAAGCATCCTCCTGCCTCCAGTTGCTGTCACTGCATCTTATTGTTACAAGATATAAACACAACCAACTCTTTCTGATAAGTAGAATCACAGCAAATTCAGCTAACTAGTAATTATACAATACGAAGCAAAAAAAAAAAACAAACCCAAAACAAAACACTGTAGTTTAAGTGTTAAACAAGTTTATCCAATTTATTATACAGTTTCACCCATCCATCTGTCTATCCTTCCATCCATCCATCTATTGGTTATTTTAATCAAGTTATTAACATCCAACCCAATTTAAATGGGAAGGTTGCCATCTATTTAAGTGAGACATAGATTATATCTATTTAAGTGAGACATAGATTACATACAACAGACATAAAATGGAGTGGACACACAGGGAGAAGAGAAAAATACACTCTAACTTTCTTTGTTTTCTAAGTGGTAAAAACCAATCTTTTCTCTTCAGACAAGAGAGACGAAAGAGACTGCTAAAAATGAAAAAGAACATCAGATTTGTCTAAACATGTTTGCATTTGCCAATCACAGATTATGTCCAAATAAATATCTTTGTCAGGAAATATGAAAAAATTCAGATCATTTATTTAATAGACAACAACAACAATCCAAAATTATAAGTCTGGAATTTTATTGCCTTTCCAATACTTAAGAGAAAATCTTTTTGCTGACTCCTTGATCAATATATTCATTTCTTCATTTCTTCAAAATATTTTATATACAGTACAATTCAGAAATACCTTCACATCATATTTTTAATGCTTGTTTATAAAATATGGTTGATAAATAAAACTAGGCAATAATTGGACAAGCCCATATCATACAGATTTGTTGTGAGCCACATAGAATCATTATATATTTAATGATATTTATTCTGTATAAATAAACAAGTCATGTAATTATATTTATTTACAGGATATATAGGCTGCCTGTAAATACATAAATTAAAC